CTTCAAATGGTAACACAGTAATCCTGATGATAGTGGATCGGTTCTCCAAAATGGCTCACTTCGTGTCTCTTCGCAAGTTGCCCACATCCAAGGAACTGGCTCATATCTTCGCTAGAGAAGTATTTCGATTACATGGGATTCCCGTATCTATTGTATCCGATAGGGGTAGCCAATTTATTTCCAGGTTCTGGAGGGCCTTTTGTTCAGAAATGGGTATTTCTCTCTCATTTTCTTCCGCTTATCATCCCCAGTCTAATGGGGCTGCTGAACGTGCCAACCAGTCTCTGGAGCAATACCTCCGTTGTTTTGTGTCTCACCATCAGGACAATTGGTCTGACCTGCTTCCTTGGGCTGAATTTGCTCGGAATAACGCCACTCATGATTCTTCCGGCAAGAGCCCTTTTTACGTTGTCTATGGCCAGCATCCCGTTGTTCTTCCGGCTGCATTCTCCTCACAGGGCATGCCAGTTCTGGATGAGCATTTGGCTGGTTTGCGTAATACTTGGGAGCAGGTTCAGCGTTCTTTGGTGGACTCTGCTACTCGCCAGAAGGCTCAGGCTGACAAGCATCGCAGAGCAGCTCCGTCCTATGTTGTGGGGGACAGGGTTTTGCTTTCCACGCGGAATATTCGTCTCCGGGTGCCTTCTATGAAATTGGCTCCCCGCTTCATTGGACCTTATCGTATTATACATAAGGTTAATCCTGTTTCTTATGCCTTAGGCCTGCCTAAGAATCTACGTATTCCTAATGTTTTTCACACCTCATTGTTGAAACCTTTCGTACGCAACCGCTATACCCGGCATACTCCTCCTCCCCCTCCTATCTCGGTGGAGGGTCATGAGGAGTTTGAAGTGTCTGCTGTTCTTGACTCTCGTTTCCTTAGGGGTCGACTTCAGTACTTGGTACATTGGAAGGGTTATGGGCCTGAGGAGCACAGTTGGATTTCGGCTGATGCTGTCCATGCTCCCCGTCTTGTGCGCTCTTTCCATTCTCGTTTTCCTGCCAGGCCTGGTCCTACCCGCCCGGGGGGCGTGTCCTCAGGGGGGGGTACTGTAGCGTTACTTACCTTAACCGGGGGCCGGTCGCGGTCCTCTCTTCAAGCCGCGCGCGGTCCTGCGGCTCATCCAACTGCTTTGGATGGAAGGCGGGCAGTGACCGCGTGAGGCGGTCACGTGTCCCGCCTGAAACTAAGAGCGCGCCGCGAGTCTCGGGCGCGCTCTTAAAGAGACAGTGGGAGCCTAATTGCCAAAAGGCTCCCATTGGCTCCTGTCATACCACACTCCCTGTACAATTACCTATAGGGGGTGTGGAAGTGACAGGAGCCAATCACTTTCGTTTTAAAGCTATTTAAACTTACCTTTTTCCCTTAGCTCGTTGCCCTATCGTGGTTTCTGTTTCAGTTCCCTTTAGCGCTTGTGGTGTTCAGTTGTGTTTTCTCGTATTGACTTTGGCTTCGTATTCTGACTTCGTTTTCGCTTTATCCTTATCTGTACTGTTTGCCGGCTTGCTGTTTTCCGTGTACCAGACCCCGGCTTGTCCTAGTTTACGCTGTCTCTCTGTGCCCTTGACCTCGGTTTGTTCCTGGCTCTGTCTCCTCTCATATACGTCGAGTCCGGCCATTCTAAGGTCCGGTAGACGTATCTCTCCTCTGTATTTGCCTCTGTTTAGCTGGATCCTGCGTGTAGGGGTATATTCTCGTTACAGTCACCCCCACCCACACCCTACCATCCCTATGCACACACTGTCACCCCCACACGCACACACTGTCACCCTATACACATACACTATCACCATTCCAAAACACTTTCAGACCACACACTGTCACCCCCTTCACCCAGACACACTCACATTAAACCCTCCTAATCCTGCCACTCTAACCCCATTCAACCATACCAAACTCACCTGCCCTTGCTTTACCACATTAACCCTCCCAATCCTGTCTGACTCAACCTTCTCTTGCACTGTCGCACTCAGTCCCCAACCCTGTCACACACTCACCCTATCACATAAACCCCTCCAATTCTGTCCTCCAACTGTGCCACACTCACCTCAAATCCTGTAGCATTCTCCACCCCCAACCCTGCCACACTCACCCTTTCACATTAATCTAATCCTGCCACATTAACCCCCTTAATCCTGTCACAGTCACCTCCCCTTATTTTGTTACACTGCCTCCTCCAAACATGGCGCATTCACCCCAACCCTGTGATACACCCCCCAACTATGCCACACACAGCCTGTCACTTTAACCTCCTCCAATTCTGTCACACTTACTTTCCCATGCCCATTCACACTCCCTCCTCCGCCCGTGTCACAATCGCCCTCTATCATTCTCACCCTCTTTCATTCTGTCACACTCACCCCCCCAATCCTGTCTCAAATACCCCCCCCTCACCCTGCCACAGCGACCCCTTTATTAACCTTGTCAAAGTCACAAACTGAAGACATTCATCATACACACATCCACAAAAGTCACAGGCAGCCCCCATAAACACAACACACCGTAAGCAGCTACCCCACACATAAGGTCCCAGACACATGCTCATAAAGACATACATTCACACACAAAGATACTCTGTGTCAGACACACACTTTCAGGCGCATACACAGGTAGACAATGTCAGACACACTCAGATATACACAGACCGGCACTAATGTATACACGACTGCCAGGCTATGTAACCATACCCCGCAGCAATGTATAAATGATTAGCATAATTGCTTATTAAATTTGTTTATTGAAATTTATTTAGTTTGCAAATTATGCCATAACTACAGTCGGAGAGCTCACAACGCAGTGGCACAGGAAACCGCAACACTGCAAGCTCTCTGTATCCAGCTTGTCCTTCAATATAACTACAGCATCTTATACACACAATGCAACCCCCATTTTTTGGTCCACTTTGGGTGTTAGTGGGAGCCTCATGTTTGAGTTCGCCAAAGGCCTCACAAAGTCTAGAGCCGCCACTGCAGGAGGGGACACAGCCAAGGGTCAGACAAGAGAGGTTTATTGTAGGTGATGTGACCAGGCTACTATCTGAACAATGCTGTTTGTTGCCTCATGGGTAATCCATTATGCATTGCAGCTAGTCGGCCAGTCCTGTTAGCGAAACAAAACAGCATGATGTATGAGAACTTTTAAAATGTACTCCATTGTCATTAGAGTGAGAATTGTTCGTTTTTTGCTTCAAAATTCTCAATAAACAATTCAGAAACAACATTTCAAGGGATATTCACTAAACGTGCAGCCCTTCAAATTTCTTAAAATTTTTTGAATTAAAATATGTATAGCTAGGGCTTGGAAATCTTCTATCCCATTATCATGGCATAATATTATGGAGCAAATATACTATCAGCACCTGATGGAATCAAACCCCTTCTTTGGCACTAGGGATTTGGTCAAACTATGGTTACCCTGGACAAATAGACATTATATAAGACAACAAAGATTGTGATCCTTTTTGAAGCCCCATGTCGAGTCTCAGGAATTTAATTTATTTTTATTATAATTTTTTTTTTATTGGTAAATTAATTATGTTTATCAATGTAACTGCTATACTATGGAAATCTTTGGTATGAGTTTTTTAATAATGGTTGGTTATTAAACAAATATAGTATGATTGTAAGATATACCGTATATATATATCTGATGGTTTTCACTGAATATTGTATTCTATATAGAAACTTTCGGTATTTAATGCTATATAATACCTCTATTGTTATATATTACCACTATGGCCTTGTTTAAAGCAGTTATATTGATGTATTATTTTTTATTTAATTTTTTTGTTCTTTTTTTTCTTTAAGTCAAATGCTATAAATTGAATAAATAAAAGTCGATGTTCTAACGTTAACAATTTTAAGGTATACTATAACAATACCTCAGAAACGTAAATCCATACTATTTATAGCCTAGACAAAAAAATGTGCTTGTTCTAACATGTACCTCTATGTCTAATTGTTTTAATGCGCTGGAGGATTGCCTTTGGGGTACCTCACACGCGAATGTTATAAACTTACACACAACAAAAATAAAGAATTGGAAAAAAAAACAAAACATTTTTGAATCGATCCAGCTAAGCTTCAAAGCAAGGCCCATCCAAATGAATCCAAAATTGTCCTTAAAGGGTTACTCCAACCACCACGACCACTTCAGTTATTTAAAGTGGTCATGGTGATAGGAGTATTTTTGCGCAGTGCTTCAGAGTGTCTTCTGTAAGGGGAAGATAGCCATCCCTTCCGTCCCAACTCCTTCTTGCATTTGCACTTGGCCTTCCTTCAATTGTGTAGTTAGAGTGCCCACAAGCACAGACCTGCAGAGTTTAATTTAATGTACATGCTTTGCCCTGACTGTGCCCCAACACATCTATCAACACATTATACCTATAAGCAGGTATTTTTCTTAACCTTAACATCACTACTCATTATATGACCGGTAAAGAGTAGAATTCTGCCGTGGACCTGAAATGGTACAACTTGTGTGCTGCTGAGGGCACTACTCTGTAAGGTCCACCTTGAGTGGGATCAGCCATTGGACTGGCGGTCAGCCTGGCATACATTCATGCCAGACTGACTTGCCCCTTGTGAGGGCAAGTACACCCCCTTTCATGGCAGGCCCACCCATACATTTTAGGCGTCACCAATGACACAAGTCATATCTGCAATCTGCATGCTTTGCACATACAGCTGCAGCCATATGATTTGCAGCGCTGACAAGCACGTTTACCTATTAGAGTGGCTATTTATCAACAGATGTAAGTAAAAGCCTGCCTGCAGTGTGAGGGAGGAAAAAGTGCCAGATGGCTCTCTACAGATTTAATAAATATTCAACTTCACTGACGTGTACTTATCATATAGACACGTAGATATCATAAGGCAGAATTTTTATTTTATTTTTTTTTTACATTTCATGGTTATGTTTTCACATAACATTATACCGGTCAGTGAGCTTACCCATAATGCTTGCAGTCTATTATCACCATAAAAGTTTAGATGGCTAGTGAAACTGTCAGCAGATTTCGAGGGCCTCAAGTTTTTTTTAGAAAACAAAACAGCAACACAAACAAACAGGGTATGGCACGCAAAGACTCCTTTCACAATTATTGAGATTGCAACTTTGGTTTACATACATTTCAAAACTATTGTCATCTTTAAATGGCCTTATAAGACACAGCATTTAAATGGGTAACCAGTGTCATTTTTACACCTCACTATAAGAGTTATGTTTTAGAGTTACTGGGAAAAAAATTGGTGTTTCTTGGCACATAATGTCCGTTGTCTTCCACTAAGCTAATGCAGAAGTCACTTTCCTCGTTAGCACCCATGGATTTGGAAACTGTATCCATTTTTCATTTTTGAAGGGTTCAGTAAAATTGTGAGAGTTTCTCTAGTGCGTAGCTCTCTCTACAGTTGTGCCAGTTTTTATTATTATAATTTTTATTAGGGTCTGGACTCTGACTGGGCAATTCTAGAACACTCACCTTGCTTTATTTAATACATTCCTGGATTGATGTTTTCCATGTGTTTCAGACTGCTGTCTCCTTTCAATTCAGCTGTCTAATTTAGAGGGTACATCAGTCTGGACAATGTTTTAATATTATATCTTAAAGCTGTAACTGAAAATATGTCCCTACTATAGATATTTGTCTCTTTTCTTGGGTTGTTGTTTTTCTTCTTAAGGGGGGGGAGCTGTGTTGGCTTTGCGTCAAACATAACTCTTAAAATAAAGGTTAAAAACTTGTACTTTGGTTGTATTAGATCACATTTAAACACGTGTATTTTTGGAGACTGAATGTGTCGTCCGGGAAAATTTATAGGGGCTAGTAATAAGTAAGTAATTATTTGTGAAAATGGCTTATTACCACACTGTTCAGACATAGTCGTGCAAAACATGAAATCATTGTAATAGGAGTAGAGTGGCCACTTACTGTCATTAATTCTGGGCAGTTCATTGAAAGTTTGCCTTAGGCTGGAGTTGATCTGTCATTCTTTAAGCATTATTAAGGTAATACATAAAAAAGTAAAAATAGCTTGCGTCTGAATATCACATTTTTTTGCCATTCAGAAAAAAAAAGCGTTCCAGAATTTTCTCTACAGATTTTCTTGATTCTCAACAATACGGATATTTAACATATAGGTATGAAGCAGATTTTATTAAAAAATGTTTCCATCATCATGTTTTCACAACCTAGGAATGCCATGCAAAGTACAAAAACCAAACCGGCGTGCAACACAATCTTTAGATTTCCTGCTCATATTAATGCAGGTGCACTTAGCGTGACCAGCTATTTTAAACACAGGTTGTGGAGCAAAGCATGGGTTAGGACCTAACTGAACTAAATGTCCCATTCCAGACAGGTCTTCCAACCATTTGCGTTGTTTGAGTGTCAGGCTGGCTATTGTTTAAAGATGGATATCACATGTATAACATCAAGCAAGACTCTAATAAATAAGGAAATTTGATGGTTATGGTGCTTATAATGCCTTTTAATGTAGTGTAAGGAGTTTATTTTAGTGTAAACTGAGTAATTTTACTAGAAATGGTGTCATCTACTGTCACTGCAGATGTTTCATATAAAATCAATTTTGGATGGCAATGACAGCCTGTGAGCTTAGTTTAGGAACAAGGTAAGCGTGCTTGCTGTGTTGTCTTCCCTTCTCCAACGAGCTTTTTTCTTGCTCAGCCAGCAATTTGGTAGACACAAGCACTGAGGGGAAATCTATGGTGCATGCGCGGCAAGTGTCGCACACGCATTAGGCTTCCCCCATAGGAAAGCATTGAAGACGCTCGGTGTACTCAGACACACACTAACATACACACACTGACAGTCACATACACACACTGACAAAAACACAACACAAATGATTATCATTTTTTTTTGCTATTTAAAGGGACTCTCCAGTGCCAGGAAAACAAACCGTTTTTCTGGCACTGCAGGTCCCCTCTCCCTCCCACCCCCCACCCCTTCAGTGACTTACCTGTATCCAGCGCTGATGTCCCTCGGCGCTGGGTCAGGGTCCGCCCACGCTCCTCCCCCGCCGGATCTATTGCGCATGCGAGTGCGCCGGCCAGGGAGACCTAATGCGCATGCGCGGCAATGCTTTCATATGGGGATTTCAGCGACGCTGGAGGTCCTCACATAGCGTGAGGATGTCCAGCGACGCTATAGCACACTTTTCATGTGCTAAAATCACAGAAGTGCCCTCTAGTGGCTGTCTAGTAGACAGCCACTAGAGGTGGAGTTAACCCTGCAAGGTAAATATTGCAGTTTATGAAAAATTCAATAATCACACTTGCAGGGTTAAGGGTAGTGGAAGTTGGCACCCAGACCACTCCAATGGGCAGAAGTGGTCTGGGTGCCTGGAGTGTCCCTTTAAGTCCATCCAGGACCTACCTTTGGGAGAGCTGGAGTGGATTTTTTTTCCCTGGGGTCCAGTGTTGCTGCTGACTATCATCTTGCTCTGGTCCCTCGCATACCGTTAATGATGTCAGGGCTGGCGTGCAAGAGTGGCGTCACTGCAGGGCGTGCAAGGGAGCAAAGAAAGAAGAGCACCGAGATGAGTGGCCCTTCGCCGCCTGTCTACATTACGCACAGCAGTCCTAGGGTGAGGACCCTAGGGTGGCCAGCAGTCCAGATCTTGGGACCCCATGACAGGCGGAATACGGGGCACCCGGTGAAAGTTGCGGGGATGTCTGAGGGGGCGTTTGGAAAGTGCAGCCCAAGGCAAATGCCTTGCTAGCCTTGGGAAAGATACAGCGCTGCATGCTTCATAGCAGCAGCAGCCGCAACATTTATTAGAAACCTGTTGTCAGCAAGTTGTCATAGCAGGAGAATTACTGAAGATGCAATTAGAAAAGGAAGAGTGAAAGACTCAGAGACAGCTTGAGTTAGACAGAGAAAACTGGGGCATTACAGAGATTTTGTAATGTGTGGGGACCTCTGTATTGCAGCTCTGCATAGTCCATGACAGTGACACTGTCTGTAGGATAGGTATGAGTATCTACTCATTGTGCTAGCTCTACCTGCTGTATGGGTATCTCTGTTGTCTACATAGCTCTGTGTAATTTATGGATAGCTTTGTGTTGTGCCTAGCTCTGTGTATTGCATGGTTATCCCTGTATTATGCTCAGCTCTGTGTATTGCATGGTTATCTCTGTATTATGCTCAGCTCTGTGTATTGCATTGGTGTCTCCATTGTACTTGGTTCTTTGTATTGTATGGATATCTCTTTGTTATACCCGTCTCTGTGTATTGTATGGATAACTCTGTACTGTACTCAGATATGTCTATTGTGCTGGTATCTCTGTATGGTACCTTGCTTTGAGTTTTGTATGGATATTTCTATATAGTATCAAGCTCTAAATAGTTTATTGGGTAACTTTATTGTATGCAGCTCTGTGTTTGGGGACTACCATTAGGGGTTGAGTATATCACAGTAGGTTTAGCAGATAGCTGACAAAAGGTCGAAAGATGGTGAAGGGCTGAGGAGTCTGGTGCCCCACCATATAAATAATGATTTCTTCTCGTGATACCTATGTTTCCCAATGAAGATTCTGTACATCATTAATATCATATATATATATATATATATATATATATATATATATAACCAGCTACACTCACCTGAACATGCATACATTATAAGGGAGCTGCTGGGGCCGATTCATACAACATTCAACATCCAGCTCAATCACTCTAAACCGGAGAATGCAGTAGTCTTCTTTAAAAACACCTAGCCCAGATAAAAATAATGGGGGTTTAATTACAGCATAAGATCATATATTGCATAAGCCTGTCACAACACCAATGTACCCTATTCTTGGCCTGGTCCTATCCAAATTGCCGTTTAGTAAGTGAGTGAGTGGGCTGGATGTTGTTATGTTATATATATATATATATATATATATATATATATATTTATACACACACATGCACACACACAAAAATAATATGTAAATAATAGTCATTGTAAAAAATAGTGTGTTGATACACCCAGACAATAACCTGCACGCTGTACACATGTTGTATGTATAGTATGTAAAGCAAAGCTAATTGGATGTTAATTAAACCATCCTAAAGTCCTTGACATGTTATTGGCCCTTAGGGACACATAAAGTACTGTAAAACTGTTCTCAGCTGCCAGGTATTTGTGCCAACCCACGGCTACCGCTGGTATTGACATTTTCATTGCCAGGGAGTATGACACATCGTTCCCTGGAACATGAGAGGTTAAGGTAAATATACATTCCACTGACAGTCAGGAAAGAAACTGCAAGAGGCAGAGGGAAGTCCAGAGGAAAGTGTGGGAGGACAGAAGACAGGCACGGGATAATGTGTCATGTCTGTATATAAGGTTTCTATTTGTCTCCACTGTCTGTGGCATTGTTTACATTAGAGTCGGTTCAGCTTACCACAGAGAACAATGTAAAGTCATCTATAAAGTAACTTATTGAGGACATTCCATGTGTTGCAGCCACAAAGGTTACCACATCCCAGGGTTCTACAACCTTAAAGGGACACTATAGACACCCAGACCACTTCTGCTAATTGAAGTGGTCTGGGTACAGTATCCCTGTCCCACTTAGTCCTTCAATGTAAATCATTGCAGTTTTAGAGAAACTGCAATGCTTACATTGCAGCACTAAGTCTGCCTCCAGTGGATCCCAGACAGCTACTAGAGGCACTTCCTGGATGTTAACGGATTTTTAATCCACTAACTGACACTGGACATCCTCACACTCTACATAAGGACATCCAGCTTCAGCTATTTCTCCATAGGAAAGCATTGATTTAATGCTCTCATATGGGGAGGCCTTATGCGCATTGGCACCCACTCGTTGAGGGACGTCAGAGTAGGCGGAGCCGTGACCCAGCGCCAAGGGACGTCGGTGCTGGAATCAGATAAGTAAATAAATGTTTTTTAACACTTTATTAACCGTGGCGAGTGGGGAGGGAGGCGTGAGGGAGTGGGAGGCAGTTTGAGTTATAGTGCCAGGAATACAGCTTTGTGTTCCAGGCACTATAGTAGCCCTTTAAATTTTCATCCAACAAATGACCATTAGAACACATGATGTAAAACAAGGTAAATTTATAAAACTGGTAAAGCTTTATGGGAGTTGTATTTCTGCAAGAGCTGGGGAACAATCTTTTGGACATCCTTAGTAGTACACAATTCAGTCAATGCATACCCAGAAGGAATGGTTTGATGTGGACGCCATAGCTGGTCAGAGCTGGCATGATGCCAAGAGAGTCCCATCCCTCTAAGGTTTCTCTGATTTATATTTGATAAGGCATTGGTTGTAGTTTACAACATTGTTAGCAGCGTCCATATTTAGTTGCCAAGATCTAGAAGCAAAACATAGAATAGCAGTTTAAAGTCTCAGGGTTGTAATCCTGAATTTCTAGGAGGGAATACAGCATGGAGTTTCACACACCATTCAAAGGGTTACTCCACCGCAACTTTGTACAATGTATAATAATAAATTCATTGTGTTATATAGACTCTATATTTAGGTCCCCTTTGTTGCATTTGTAGTTCAATAAATGTTTTAATATATTGTAGGTTAAAAGGTACCTTGAATTCAGCTCTGGGCGAAACGCCGCTCACTTGTCTCCTCTCCCAGTTCTAAGGCGCACCCTGCACCCCAAAAAAAGCCACATAAAGTAACTTTAATTAATTTATTAATTGGACTCTGCAGGCATGAAAACATCTAAAAACACATTCATATTTGACAACTTTATATTGTACAGCGCTGCGGAATATGTTGGCGCTTTATAAATGCCAGTAATAAATAAATGTATAAAAATATGCAGACATCCCAAGTCTCCTGGTAGTTCCGGGAGACTTGCGCAAGTTTGAATGCGGCTCCCTGACACCCGCAAGTCATACACAATAGCAATCTGATTTCCATTATATTGTTTATGGTTTTTGCCCCCTAACACCCACATGAAGTGATAGCTACTTCCTCCCAGCTTCACAGAGAGCTGCCCGCCGGGGAGGACTGGAGGGAAGAGGCAGCAGCATACATGGAGGCAGCATGAAGGTACAGAAGAGGCTGGAGTGAGCTGCTGCTGCTGCATGCTCACTCCTATCAGCTTCAGCCAGCACCATAACTTCAAGCAAGCCACCCTCCTGGAGACAAAGGTAAGCTAACAGGAGGATGGCTCTGTGTGTGTGTGTGTGTGTGTGTGTGTGTCAGAGTGTATATCTGAGTGTGTGTCAGTGTGTATATCTGGGTGTATGTGCCAGTGTGTGTGTATCTGAGTGCTAGTGTGTGTGTGTGTCAGTGTGTGTCTGAAAGTGTGGGCCAGTATGTATTTGAGTGTATGTGCCAGTGTGTGTCTGTGTGTCAGTGTGTATATCTGAGTGTGTGTTTCAGTGTGTGTCTGTGCCAGTGTGTATCGAATGTATGTGCTAGTGTGTTTCTGTGCGTCAGTGTGTATATCTGAGTGTGTGTGTTTCAGTGTGTGTATCTGAGTGTATGTGCAAGTGTGTGTATCTGAGTGTATGTGTTAATGTGTTAGTGTGTGTTTCAATGTGTGTCAGTGTGTATGTGCCAGAGTATGTAAATGCGCAGGTACGTGTGTGTCTGTGTGTGTGTTGTGGTGGAGGGTTGGGTTGAGTGCGCGGGGGAAGTGGGGCAGTATCTTCTGAAGATACCTCCCTGAAATGCATTTTTGCATGTTGGGATGTCTGAATATGTATGTACATATATCTGTTTGTAATGTATTGTGTTTAAGTTTGCATATAGTGTAGTGGCGGCTGGTGAAGTTTTAAGATGGTGGGACGCCAAACCCCACCTCCAGAATTTGGCTCTGCCTTTCAACTCTGTAACCACCAGCTTCTGACCTGTGACATCTTTACTCACCTACTAGTGGTAGGCCCCACTCAATATTGAGTTACCCATACAACACAAACAGCCCAGTAGGAGATACCAACACAATATATACTGTACGGAGATATTAAAAAACAATACACAGAGCTGAGCATAATACAGAGGTATTATTATTATTATTATTATTGCCATTTATATAGCGCCAACAGATTCCGTAGCGCTTTACAATATTATGAGAGGGGGGATTTAACTATATATAGGACAATTACAAGACAACTTACAGGAACGATAGGTTGAAGAGGGCCCTGCTCAAACAAGCTTACATTCTATACTCATTAAACTGAGCTGGGCTCCATATAAAGATATCTACAAAACATGCAGAGCTGGGTACAATACAGATATAACCATACCACAGGCAGAGTTGAGAAAAAAATAGAGATTTGATACATAGAACTGGGTACAACCAAGGCTATATATAAAATATAAAAAGTTTGGTAGTCTACAAAAATACTCTACAACAGGCAGAGCTGAGTAAAATACAGAGACATAACACACAGAGCTGTGCACAATAAGGAGATACCAATAACTATGGCACACAACATGGGGAACTGTGATGGATTATAGAGCTGCAGAGATCGCCACACAGTGCAATGTCTCTGTATAATGTTGCAGCTCTCTCTGTAAATTCTAGCTCTCTAGCCCTCTCTTACTTATCCATATCCTGTTCTCATCTTCATTAGTGCTCCTGCTATGACAACTTTAGAATTCTAGTAAATTTGGTGCTGTTTAGATATACTTCCCCTTACCTTACTCCATCTGCTGTTCTATGTTAATTCGCACCCGCTACAGCGGAAGAGTCCTCCCAGCACCTGCTCCCTAGATCCAAGTCTCTTGCATCTCATCCGTACTCTGTCTTCTTCTCTTTCTCTACCTCTCACTAAAATTCTCAATCTCTCTCTCCTCTGGCATATTTCCATTGCCCTTTAAACATGCAACTGTAACCCCAATTCTAAAGAAGCCCAACCACGAACCTAACTCCCCGTCCAACTACCGTCCTATCTCGTTATTGCCTTTTGCGTCCAAAATCCTTGAAAGAGTTGTGTATGCGAGATTGACAGACTTCCTCGAGTCCAAGTCTCTGCTAGACCCGCTTCAGTCTGGTTTCCGCGCTAAGCACTCTGTGGAAACCGTACTGACCAAAGTATCCAATGATCTACTCGCTGCAAAATCCAGTGGTCACTACTCTATCCTAATTCTCCTTGACCTTTCTGCGGCTTTTGACACTGTTGATCATCAACAGCTTCTTCTCATCCTCCGCAATATCTCTCTACAGGATATTGCTTTCTCCTGGTGCTCCTCCTACCTCTCCCAGCGCTCTTTCAGTGTTTCTTTTTCTGGCTCTGCTTCTTCTCCCCAACTTCTCTCTGTTGGTGTCCCCCAAGGTCCCCTACTGTTCTCTATCTATACTGCCTCCCTTGGTAAACTCATTAGCTACTTTGGCTTCCAATATAATTTCTATGCGGATGACACGCAAATCTATCTGTCCTCTCCTGATCTCTCCCCGTCCCTTTTGACTAGTGTCTCTGACTGCCTCTCTGCTATTTCTAACTGGAAGGCTGCCCACTTCTTTAAACTCAACTTGAACAAAACTTTAATTCTGGTCTTTCCTCCTTCAAGTGTTGCTACTCCTGTGTCTGTCTCCCTCCAAGTCAACGGTGCTACTAACAGCTCCACCATGCAGGCTCGCTGCCTAGGTGTTCTCTTTGACTCCGACCTCTCCTTCACGCCATGTTTAGTCTATCGCTAAAGCCTGCCGCTTCCACCTCAAAAACATTGCGCGCATCTGACCCTACTAAATGCCAGATGCTACTAAGGTGCTGGTCAATTCCACTGTCCTTTCTCGCCTTGACTACTGTAATCCGCTTCTCAGTGGTCTTAGTGCTCCCAACTTGCGCCGTTACAGTCCATAATGAATGCGGCGGCAAGGCTCATCTTCCTGTCTGCCCGCACCTCCCACGCCTCACCCTTCTGTCAGTCCCTACACTGGCTTCCTGTAAGATAGAGGGCTCAATTTAAAATTCTTGTTCTTGCTTTAAAATCTCTACATAATGCTGCTTCCACCTATCTATCCTCTCTAATACACAAGTATGTCCCTTACGTGCTGAAGACTTACGTCTATCTTCTGTCCGTACTCCCACCTCTGATGCTCGCCTTCAAGATTTCTTGAGGGCTGCACCGTTCCTGAGGAACTCACTTCCTTCCTCCGTTAGATGCTCACCCAGTCTCCGCTCCTTCAAAAAATCATTAAAAACCTACTTCTTTTTAAAAGCATATCAATTAAACTGTTAATAGCTCCAGACTGATTCCTCTCTTCCAACTGTCACTAGTCTAATACTATCCCTACCTTTTGTGTCATTTTACCCCACTCCCTCTAGCATGCAACCTCAACCCCTCTGTTCCTGTGTGTCCAACTTGTCTGGTTACAACTACATGTTTGTTCGTCCACCTACTGTAAAGCGCTGCGGAATTTGTTGGCGCTATATAAATAATAACATAATAATAATGTCAGTGCTACTCCTGACTCACTCTTACTCTTAGCTCTCAGCACACAATGTGCAGATGGTTAAAGGGACACTATAGGCATCCACTCCAGGTCATTTCATTTAAGTGGTCTGGGTGCAGTGTCCCTGTCCCTTTAACCCTGCAATGTGAAACAGAGAAACTGCAATGTGAATATTGCAGGGTTAAAACTACCACTAGTGACTGTCTACCAGACAGCCACTAGAGGCGCTTCCTGCTATTTCACAGAGTTTGACACACTCAAACTCCCATATGAATCACTGAATCAATGCTTTACTATGGGGAAGGCCTAACATGTGCGTGGTGTGGCGAGGGGGAGGGTGGCAGTGGAACACTTTAGTGTTGGGAAGCTTTGTATAGGACTAGTGTTAGAAATACAGCTTTGTATTCCTAACACTAAAGTGTACCTTTCATGAAGCAGGATTCGGATATACTCCAAACATGCTGGCTACTCCTGACTCACTATTAGCTCTCAGCACACAGTGTGCATGGGGTTAAAGTGGCAGGATACTGGTGGACACATTATTACTTTTGCAGCTTGCAATATAATTAATCTGCAGTGTCAATATGGACCCAAGAAATAGCGGACATGGTTAACAGAAGCAACAATTTACAATAAACATTAAAACAGATTGAAGTTAGAATCACCTCAGACTCACAGCCGCAGTCCTGCAGTGTGGAGCGTCACAACTTGTCATTTAGCCACATCATGAGTGTCCCAGGTGGGTGGGCAGCTGAACCTACACCATGGGTAACCATTAGCAATCTTTGGCACTCTGGCTGTTGTGGACTATATCTCCCATGAAGCACTATAGTGCTGGCAAAGCATCAGGGGGAGATGTCCACAACATCTGGAGTGCTGAAGGTTGCACTATGCAATGCGCAGTATGAGTTACTGAAATTAACATGCAAAGGAAGAACAGTGCTGTCTGTCTGAAATATCTGCCATTTTTCTTCCTGGGCTTCATATATTAATGATATATTTGAGTAAATTCCCTTGCTTAATCAGACTTCAGGCAGACACTGAAGAAATTGGGAAGAGAAAAAGATAATTAAATAAACTTACATTTGACAGCTGCCATGCTCTCCCTGTGCTGCTTCCAATATGGCCCCTTGCTTCTCTCTCCTGTGGACATTGCAACCCCAACCCCTGGTGCTATTAGACAGTGATGGCTCCTGAATAGAGAGGCCAATAGCATTGCTTCCATTCATGGGCAGCTGGCTCTGCTTTGCTGCCCGTATGGCAACTCAATGGGAGGCCCATAAAATTCCTTCTTACAGGAGACTAGGCATGTGCAAAACCTGCTAAAACAGGGCAGATTTTAAACCTGTACGGCATGCCTGGATGCTCTCAGGTGGCTGGAGAAGGGGAAAAAGAGAAACACTTTATACCTATAATTGGGTATAAGTATAAAGTTGGGTTATATTTAGTATATAGTGGGTGTTTTAGGATTATTGACCTTCATGTTAAAATGGGGTTTAAGTTAGTATTGAGATGCATGGAGTATTTAGTTTTCAAAAGCGATTACATTAAATATACAGTAAAGGGTTTCTTTCAGCTTTATGGTTTCAGTGCTTAAATGTGGGACTGAGGACAAGTTTAGGGAATTTACGGTTAGGAAAAAGGGCTGCTTATGGTATGTGGAGTTTAAAGGGTTATTTGCAAAGTACTCACCCTTCCACTTCCTGTCCAGCCTCACACACAGACACTGGAGGACATGGGACAGCACTGAGTTTTACACTCTCTATAACTGTTCCTGCTGCTCTGCTGTCAAGCATAGGAGGCTGACTGGACACTCATCTCTCCCCACCAGCCCACTGGTTTAAAATAGCCGTTTAGGTGCTCAGCCCCCCTTGCCCTCAGTTAAAAAGGTGATATACTCCCCCTCACGGCTGGCCCTGCCCTCGCTCCACCTCCTCGTCTGAGATCATCAGATTTGATCTTCTCGGCCAATCTAATGATTTCCCATAGGAAAGCATTGGAAGGCTATTGCACATTTACGGTAAAATGCTGAGTTGCGCCAATCAGCATTTCCTCATAGAGGTGTATTGAATTATTGCCTCTATATGAGAAGCGTTCAGCGTATCCATGCCGAGCGTGGAGACGCTGAACATCAGTGCTGCACGTTGTGCAGTACTGACCCAGGAAGCAACTTTAGTGGCCGTCTGAGTGACTATCACTAGAGGTGTTACCAGGCAGCAGCATAAACACTACCTTTTCTCTGAAAGGGCAGTATTTACATTAAAAAGCCTGCAGGGAAATTAAACTGTAGTTGTTCTGGTGACTACAGTGTTCATTTAAGCTCCAAAAAGCTACATAATAGGTGCTAAAAAAAAACAGACGCCCTCTACAAGACATGCACATCTAGGCAGGTGCCTATTTTGCCTAGTGGGAAATCCGACCCTGCTAACTGGTTCAACTCAGTTTCAAGTTTACTTTCAACAGATAGTGAAATGATGATGAATAATATCACCAGCAGCCTGTATTCAAATATACACCTCATCAGAGATTTGGCTTGAAATAATAAAATACAAAACCTAAAAAAATTTAATGTTCATACCCATGAGTCAAGCTTAGTTTTGCAATAGCTGTAGTTGACACTAGCATTGGATAGACTGGGCTTCAGTAAAAAGCCAAAATCCATAAGAAGGCAGTCCGAGACAGAATGTACGAAAGTGATACGTATGGCTCAAGCAGACAAAAGCTGATGTTGATAATTTCTTATGAGTCAGAAAGAGTTACGTGCTTAGGGATATTTGCAAAATGTATTGCCCAATAGCACCTAGGCTGTGAGTTTAATTGACTAGACAAAGCTCTGTGAATCAGTAATTTAGCTTGCGTACAACGTGAAACTACTTGAATGTTTTAACAAACATTGACACCCACTATTCACTACCAGACTCTGTCTAAGTGGAAGTCTCCATATAATCGTTGGCTTTACTTTGGTTAAAGAAATATGAACTTGATAACCTACTTTGGCTACAAATTACTTGACTGTCAGGTGAAAGATTCTACCGATGAGAAGGCAAATTGTTAAGCTTTTAAGCCACATGAGCATCCTGTCTACAGAGTGGATCTGACACCGCAACAAATTGAAATTATACGCATGGTATGATTTGATTCTGCAAGCCTAGTTTCTAAGAATATATTGCTCCTATTGAAATATCTGCCATCATGTCTGGTGGCTTCGTCCAAGAAGTTCACTTGGTAGAATATATTTTTATATATATATTTTTTTTTTTGTAGAACAAGGATACATGAACCACTTGATGACGAGGTCCCTAAG